GAGTTGAAGTCCACTCATCTTAAAGTGGCCAAGTTTGGACAACACTGCCTTAAGGCCTCTTGGATGCCTCTGACCCTCCCTCTGGCTGCCTTCCGGTGCAGGGGGAGCGTACTGCTGTTTCCAGGTGATAAGGGAGGGGTGCTTGGATGTTCCCAGCCTGCAATTTCTGCAACATGCCATCCACGTTCCCAGACGTGGAGCTTTCACACAGCATCCCCGTGGCTGGTGCTTTACTTAATGTGCTAGGCAGGTCCTGCCCCAGATAGCTGGCAGTTCAACATTCAGTTCAAGGGAAACAGAGGAAGTTAATCCAAGGGGGTGTTAAGGAACAGCTACCGGATTCTGTAACGCTTATTCAGAAGAGCAGCATTTCCCAACCTGGGGACTCTGCACACATCTGCCCGGCTCTCAGGATTCTGGGAACTGAAGTCCACGTGCCTGGAGGGCACCAAAGCCATTGGGGGGGGGGGTGCAGCAGGGCCCAGGAGCTCGGTACCTTAGTGCTCGGTTCCCCCCGTTTAATGCTCCCACCTGGAGCCGCCCGCCGCCCCTCTCAGCCTCCCCCCTTCCCCACAGCCTGCTGCGCAGTACATCCTTGTGGAGAAGGACGCCCGGAAGGTGGCGAAGGAGATGCAGGCTGAGTACTGGGCCGTCTCGTCACTCACAGGTAAGTGGCACATGCTTCCCCCGATCTGTGTCTGGAGCACTGGGAGCCCCTCTGCCCCTAAGAAGGGGCAGGCAGGGGTACCCCAGAGGGAGGCGCCAGCGCCGCCCTGGGCATAAGCCAATTTTGCTAGCCTGGCCGTGCTGCCTGGCTCTCCACGGCGCCTCAGCCTGGAAAGAGAGGCCTGCTCTGGAGGGGGCTGGCTCTGCTCGGCTGGGGGCGGGGGAGGCTGAGTTGCCCCCCTGACCCCGCAGTCGTCTGCCTTCTCCATCCAGGTGAGAACGTGCGGGAATTCTTCTTCCGGCTGGCTGCGCTCACCTTCGAAGGGAGTGTTCTGGCCGAGCTGGAGAGGAGCAGTGCGCGCAGGATTGGGGACATTGTGCGTAAGTACCCGTTTGCTTGCAGGAGACCCGCTGGCCCCAGGTTTGGGGCAGTCCTGGGGTGTCCGCAGACTGGTCAAAAAGTTGGGGTGTGATGGAAGTTCCGCCTGTTTTTATGTTCAGTGCACATAGAAAAGAGGTGGGACTTTGACTGAACTGTCACAGCTGCCATCTCAACCTTTCTGACCATACGTGCGGACAGCCCCAGACAGCCGCCTTGGCCTTGATGCCGTTGACCTAGTCCCGCTGGCTTTGCGGTTTCCTTGGGCAGAATTTCTCCTCTATGAATAAGCTGTGAGCCCCACTCCTGCAGATGTTTTCAGCCTCATGACCCATCCGTGCCTCCGTTTGTATCCTCATAAGGACTAGAAAGTTAGCATTTGAACCCAAAGCCCCTTTTTTCCAGAGCTGAAATGACCAGCGGTCCCAGGGCGGGCAACCCATTTTAGCCAGATAGTTGAACGGACTCCTTAACTGGAGTTCATTCAAACTGTCATGGGGGGGGGGCAACGGTGGAGGGGGACCACTGGGGCTCCCAGACCTGTCCATACCAGCCCTGGAGGGAGTTTGCAGTCTCTCTCTGCTGCCCTCTAGTGATGATCTGGAATTGGGCAGCCCCAATTTGGCAGGAACTGGGATGGCTGCAAAGCCTGCAGTGGTCTCCCGACAGCAGAAGCCCCCTCCCCATTTCCACAGGCTGGGGCCCCTCCCCTCCCCTCCCCTCCCCTCCCCACAGCACAGAGCGATGCTCTTCTCCCCATAAGTGAGACAGCGCTCAGTCATCCTCAGCTGTTAAAGGCTCCCCCCTCCTTCTGAGTGTCGGAGGACAGGCAAGCTGCCCGGAGGGGGGCTGGGGAGGGGCTGGCGGGGGCCGGGAGAGAGGCAGGGGTTGGCTCAGACCTGGGCCGAGGGGAAGGGAATCTTTTTTGT